TACATAAGGGAAGGTGGGGGGAGGGCAGCGGCCGAGCCGGGCGGCGGCGGCGGCCCCTTTAAACGCGGATGGCGGGGTGCGGTGATTGCGCGCCTCTCTGCTGCCCCCTCCCCGCCCGCCTGCAGTGACAAATCCGCTCCCCGCCCGCCTCCGCCGAGCCCAGCCGAGCCGGGCGGCGCCGGGAACCGCTGCCGTGCTGCTCTGCACAGACCGTCCGCCCGTCCGCCCGCCGCGGAGCCGGCCAGCCCCAGCCCCAGCCCCGGCGGCGCGATGGAGGCTCCGCGCCTGGCGCACACCATGAGCAGCCCCACCAGCCCCTGCGAGGAGGTGATCAAGAACCTGAGCCTGGAGGCGATTCAGCTCTGCGATAGGGACGGTAAGTCCGGGCTCCACACGGCTAATCCTTGCAGACGCAAGATGCTGCTGCCCCCGTGGATGCTAATGCAAATTAATCCCCGCGGCGTATGGTCCTTTGTTATCCCCCCTGTATTTGTAGGTGCAAGTGTTCCCTACCCCTCCCGCCGCCGCCACCCTCCTGCCATGCAGAACAAAAGAAAAAAGAGAAGGTTGCACCTTGCTGGAGGGAAGGGAGGGAAACCCGCCGCTCCCTAAGCCATCCCTGGCGTTGCAGTGCGTTTCCCCCTGGGCGAGCCTGCTGCACAGCCCTGCCCCTGCCAGGAATGGACGCCGGGGCTCCTTCTGGGAGAGGCAACGGGGAGAGCCGGAGCGGGCGCTGCGGAGTCCGGACCTAGGGTCGGGGTGGTCGCCCTGACGGGTGTTTTGTTCTCTACGATCTCCAAACTCCTTTGTATTGTAGGGCAGTTCCGGTGCTTAAAATACCCAGACGGATCGGCTGGCTGGCGGGGGCTAGCGGCCAAACTTGTTGCCGGTCTCTTGTGCCCCGCGATCCGGCGGGGAGAGGGCCGAGGCTGGGGCTGGAGGGGAGACGGAGCGGGAGGCGGCGGGTTCAGCACCGCGGACAGCGCCGAGCCGGCGGCGGGAACGGGCGGCCGCAGGGGCGGGGGGACGGCGGCGGCCCCGGGGGGCAGCCCCAGTCCCGGCCCCCCGGGCGGAAGCGTCAGTCCCGGCCCCCCGGGGGGCAGCCCCAGTCCCGGCCCCGGGGGGAAACCCCAGCCCCAGTCCCGGCCCCCCGTGGGGCAGCCCCAGTCCCGGCCCCCGGCTGGCACAGCCGGACCGTCGGACACATGAAGTTTGGTTTTAGAGTTGTAGTCGCTGATATGAAAGATTTATCTGGGTTGAAGCAAGCGGATAAATGTAAGGTGGCTGTGAGGGAGAGCCAAAACACGTTTACGTGCTTAAAACAACACTGAAAGCTGGCTACGGTGGGAGAGTGGTGTCGTTTACGCACAGCTATGACTGACAAAACTGAACAGACAAAACCGATAGACAAACAATGAAAAAATACATCCTTGTAGAGTGGCATATACTCTGTGTTCATGTGCCACGTTATTCTCTTCTTTTTGTTTGTCATTGAATTATCAAAAATAACTTACCATTTCTTAATGCAAAATGTGCATTGGGTGTGGAGTATATGTTACCTGGTAAATATGCCAAGGAATGTAGAGACTGTGTCAGTGAATGGTACAGCTGAATTAATGAATTTCCTTGTTGTGAGTGTACTTTTGGAGCATAAGTGTATATAGGTGATGGTTATAGAAAGGTCTAGCTGTCTCAGTTATTTTTTTGCAAATTTATTGTGATGAAATACTCCACTTTTTTGACCTAGGCAGACTTGCTATTTTAAATGCTGGATTTTTAAAGCTTTTTATTTTTCTTGAGATATTCAAGAAATTGAGAAGGCGTTGAATAGTCTTTTCAGTAATTATTTTTTTAGCTGCATAGAATTCTTTGAATTTGTTTGTTTGAATTAAGATATAATATGCATCTCTGTCCACTCATGCATAACGCACTGCCTGGAGAAACTGAACTATGTTTATAGTGGTGGAGGCTAGATTCTTCTTTTGTTAAAACATTCTTTTTTGTATATTTCTTTTTATTAATACTAGAGAGAAATGAAAATAGATAAATTATGCAATCATTCATATTTGTCTACCCCAAGTAATTGTAGTGAAATACTCTGTGTTCATCATTGTAGACTCTATTTGGCTCAACATACAGTAGTTAAGGACTGCTTGATTTCTATGGAACAGTGTCATGTAGACAAGCAAATGCAAAAATGTAGTATTTTAAATTTTAATTCCATTTTGAATAAGCTTCACTGGAAAACATCTTTCCTGTAGATCTGACTTTACAAATTAATCTTCATCGAGTTAAGTCACTATCATACAGGGTCGTTGCTTCCAATAATACATGGTTGAATTTCTGAAGGAGGCGCCTATGTTGGGCGTGTAAAATGTGCAACTCAGTGACTAATTTGGCACAAGGCTATACTTGGGCATACTTCAGTATTTCCTACAGGTGGCACTTATGTATCAAAAAGCTTGTTTTAATGGGTACATAAAAACAAGCCAGCAAAGGTTAGGGCGTTAATCTTTCTAGGTAAGCATGCAAATGTATATGCAACACATTTTGATCCCTAATTGTGTACATGGGTTTAGTTAGGGCATTTATATTGTAAACACTTCCTTTTTTTAAGGGTATACTGGTTGTAAAAGATATAGTTCTTAAGGTGATATGTTAGCTCACTGAGGTTAATGAAGTATCAGTATACAACCTGTAGTGAATTAAAAATATGCTATATTTTCACATTATAACAAAGTCCTTGATGTCTAAGATGTAGAAACTCTAAAGGTAGTCAATGAAATGATAACATTAAACATCCAACTATAATAAATTCTACAACATACTTGGTTTGGAATTGCAGGCAATGCTGCAGTATAAGTGTAAGAAATAATGTAATATTTATGCAGATAATGAAATATTTTCTTGTTTTCTAAGATGAGGGAAATTAGTATTGAAACATTTTCTATCCAGAAAACTGGGTTATACCTCCTATGGTGGTATTTACAGGAGCCAGAAGTCTATGAATTGGAGTGAGCAATTAATAATATCACAACAGTTCATATCTTTTTAGTTTTTTTTTTTCAATGTATTTTTTGCAAGCCTCAAAATCTCTTTTAATGAATCGAGACCATTTAGAAAACTTACAAATATCAAATGAAAAGAAAACAAATGTATGCATTTTGGGGATATTTATTTTTAAATAAAAAACACCTAGTAAGATGATTTTAAAATGATTGCAACATTATAAAGCCAGTTATGAGCTCTTAGTTTCAGCATTCTCTGTCATTTACAAATGCATCATGCGTTATTTTTTCTTTGCATTATTTTAGGTGGGCCTATTAGCACAGCTTAGTATTAGTCTGTTGCGCAGTCTAACATATAGTTCCTTAGAACTCTGCTGAACTCACTTTGTATATAGGAAAAACTGTATCATTTGTTATTTTCCTTTTTGCCATATTTGAATATTGCAGCCATATTTCTGTAAACTTAGGCCAGGAAAGAATGTTTAATCTGTGATAAAAATTCTGGTGACCTTTTTATAAAATTTGTATTAGCCGTAGCTTGGGATTAAACCTTTAGCAGATGGATGCCCTTTGTGTCATAGTAGGCCAATTCTATGAAAATATGTCTAGCTTCAGAAAATCACGAGCCTTTGAAAAAAACTGTGGTTTTCTCAGACTTGCTACAACAGTCTGAATTTCCTGAAGCTCCACATTGTGGTTGTGCAGCGCTCCCCCTACAGATACTGCACTTTGTCTGCTGGGGTCCTGCCAGAGTGAGAGTGGTGACACTGGCATCTGCTTTCCATGCGCGTACAGTTGGCATAGACAGCTGGAAAGTGGAAACACCTGTCAGAACACAGAGAGGAGAAAAGCAGAGCAAGGAACCTTCAACAAGGATGTTGCAACTTGGAAGACACGGTCTGGGGAGAGGGGCAAGAAAACTGGCCCAGAAGGCACCATGGGCTTGGTGCTAATAGAGACTAAGGCAGTGGCTGGTCAAGGGTGGAACTACAGGAAAGACTTATAAACTGAGGGTGGTTGTGAGGATTAGATTAAATGGGAAGGCAGAAGTGGGAAAAATGACCCTGAATGAGAATAGGAAAAGAAAATGAAGGAGCATGGAAGGTAATCCAAGTTTAGGCAGGCTGCCCAGGGAAGTAAAACTGGGAAAAAAAGATGAGGGGGTGTTCACCCAGATGAGATGAATAAGGATGGAATGAGAATTGGGAACCTGCAAAGAATAAACCTGGAGACCTGTCTGCAAAGAAGAGATAGAAAGTACAAGAACGTGGAGGGGGGAATGGAGCAGTTTGGACAACAGAGGTTAGGAATAAAGGAATGGAACTAGGACTTGCTCAGCAAAGAGACTGGGACTGAAAAGACAGCCTTAGGAATGAAGAACAGGACTTTTGAAGGGGCAGGAAAATAGAAGAAGGGGCAGGACAGGAACAAGTTCAAGGAATAGGGCAAAGTGGCCATGTTTTGGTGTGACAGCCAGAGAGAGGTCAGTGTTTATCAGCACGTGCCATCTTCCAAAGCCACATGGAACTCGAGGCTACCAAATTCTCCATGTTCATTTGCCAGCAAAGAGGTCTAAAATCCACTGGCAAAGCGTGACATCTGTTTTCAGTGCTTATCTGTGTGAAGGCTGGCAGTGTGGTATGGCTGATGGTTGGCCTGTTAGTTCAAATGTTAGCCTCTGTGCCTTTTGCTGTGCACCTAAATGTGCCAGCACTGCAGGCTACCCATATGAATTTGATACAAAGCCACAGGTAGATTTTTAATCATCTTTTTAGTTGCCATTTTGTGAAACCTAAGAAATTGCAGACATACAATAGGTTATTAAGGTTACTGAGTTACTCAAAGTTAGAAAATGCTGAAAGTTTGCTCCTCTGCACAGAAACAGCATGTGTTGGGATGTTTATGTTGTGTATTGAATACTGGGGATGTTGAATGGGAAGTTGAAAACAAGGTGGGGGAAGAAAGGAGAAAGAAATTTAGTTCTCACCTGGAGTCTATTCCAGGCTTTCTGCATGGAACTGAGCAAGAGCTACCTACTTCTCAAAGGGGTTTGTTATTTCTTGTGGTTCTCCTTTCTGGGTGCTTGATCCTGGTACCATGGTGTCAGGGCTTCAGGGGTACTGAGAATCAACAGCTGCAGCTGACTTCAGTGAGAGTAGGACTCTGAACGTACAAAGCACAGTGCTAAATGCTTTGAGGAAAGAGATGTCAACCACCTTCAGTAGGCACTGAAAGTTAGTAATCATCTTTAACTTCAACGTATTCATCAATGACCTGCATGAAGGGATGGAATGTACCCTCAGCAAGTTTGCTGATGATACAAAACTGGGATGGGTGGCTGACATCCCAGAAAGCTGTGCTGTCATAC